GATATTGTCCAACTGTACTTGAACAGTCTGAGAGAAGTCAGACAAATTAAAGCAACCCATTTCTGGGATCTGTTCACATCCCATATGTTCTTTTAACTGTAGATAGTCTATAGTAAGATTTTGGAGTGCTACAACTTGCACCCCTCCCAACTCCTGATTGAGTTCCAACAGTACAGATCCGGTCAAATTCGTTGTCTCACTGTATGCACAGAGCATTCGTAATTTTTAAGTCTAAGAGCAAAATGAGAATCAATTTTGGATACATCTAATTGATTTAATGTGTGAATTTGTTAGAGAAAATTAAGAGACTCTGTAGCACCATTATCAATTGAAATTAGGCATAGGTGAAGGGAATGGAAAGGGCTGAGTATGAAAGGACTTGTTCAAAGTGAGTAGGAACCCTGTGTTAATAGAATTCCCAATCAAGTTTGGCAGGAGGGAGGCACCTAATAGGTTATTGTAAATCCTGATGGTCTCATGCTTAAAATCATTTGCTTGGTTTTTCAGTGTTAATTGCTGATTTGCTGATTTACATACCTGCAGTGGTTTTATACTGTGTGTGTTTAAAAGAAATCTCAACTAAGAAGAAGGTAAGTTTTAAAGCAACCTGACATTTCATCTCTGAAATATTTTATTAGCTTAACTATTAAGTATAGAGCTTGAGGAAGCAATGCTTTTGGGAATAAATAATCGGGAGCAGTTTATTTTCTGTAATTAATTTTCATTTAGAAAACATAGAGTAATAATTTTAATGCCCAACTGTAGTAATAAGGCACTGAATTTTAGAAGTTATGTACTGCTGAATTATACAGCATGCTGAATTTATTGCCTACTGGTAAATCTGAATTTTTGGTTGGTTTTTGAGAATGACTAAACTGAAAGGCATTTTGAAAAGTAGCTGTATATTCTTATATTCACTTAACAGATATTCTCTTTGGCTATTTTACATAGGTTAATCCTTAGATTAACTTCTTTGATTTGTATATCTAAGAGTACTTTCTCTGAAACACTTTTAATGATTTTTTTCCTTTTACTGAAGTATCCTATGTCAGGTCCTGAAAACTTCATTGTTTAAAAAGTTGTTTTGTAAAAATGGAACATTTTGATAAACAGGGGAATATTTGCTGTGTTGAAATCACACTTTTACCCTTTTTGATGTTAGTAACAGATTGCTTGCTTATGCCACAGTATTTTTCTTTACAGATTGCTACTGCATTATGCATATTGCTGTATCCAGGCCTTATTCTTATCGACTTTGGACATTTTCAGTATCCTTTACTAATTTAGAAATGAAGTCAGATGCATATTATGAAACCTAGGTTCACCTTGTATAATGTCATCCAGTAGCATCTTATTTACTAGGGTACTTGCTTATATAAACTTTTTACAATGATATATAAGAATCTCTTCACTAAGTTTTTCTTGAGGGGTACAGTACAGATTTGTTAAAAGTAGAATTGCTTTTTCACACCTGTTCTGTCTTGGGAACAAAATGTTGGTGATGAATTAGCTCTACTGCTGAGTTGGAAAAAGAGTGCCAAGTATGGTTATATCTCCTAATTCTCAAAACATACAACATATCTTCATTCTTTGGAAATGCTTTCTGACACTGACAAAAGAAAGCAATCTTATGTTTTCTTTTAAACCAAGATGTTTCTCTAACAGATAGTAGTAGCTGGAAGCTTCAGGAAACTGAAATTGAATAGTTAAGATCTATATGCATTTTATGTTTATAATTTTTGATACTGGAAATAAGGACCATTCAAATAAGCAAACAAATCTTAGAGGAAAGCTGATAAAATTTGTACATGGCTGTCCAGTTTGTCTCGTATTAAATGTTACTGTCTGTCCCCATCTGTTCCAAAGGAAAAAAAAAGAAATAATCCACAGCAACATATTGCTTAATAGTTTTTCATTTTGATATGTCTGTTTTAGGAATAATAAAATAAACATGTATATTTGTCAAAGAACTTGTGAAAGATACTCAAATCTGTGGTTGTTTCCATCATATTTTTTATTCTGACCACTTTCCTAATTTAGCTCCCCACTTTTTTGGACATTATGGTATCATGACTATCAGATACTCTGATAATACAAGAACATTGATATGAAGAAAAGGAAAAAAGTTGTTTACAAGAGTTTTAAAACTATATTTATTTTGAAATACAACATTCATACAGAAAAGTGCATAAAACCTAAACAGGCAGCTCAGTGGCTGGGCAAACTTACCATGTCAAGAAATAGAACATTGCCAGTGTCCAAAATCTGCACTTGTATAACTCCCAAGTTCTTCCCCCTCCTCCTTTCCCTCATGCAGCTACATACTCACCGCTAATACTACAGCTTATTTCTCCCCCTTTTTGAACTTTACATGGAAGGGACAAACAGTAAGCATCGCTTTGCATTTAGTGGCCTTGGTTCACATTTTGTTTGTGAGAGTGATCCTGTAACTCTTTGTGGCAAGCTGCACTTTGTTCTCTTACATCGCTTTATGGCATTCCATCGCGTCCATACACATAATTCTATTACTGATGGATGCTTGAACTGTTTCTGTGTCTTGGCTGTGATGAATATGCTGCCCTGAGCATTTGTGTAAACATCTTTGTTCACACATAAATATATTTCTTATGAGAGGAATTGCTGAGTTACAGGGTGTGCTCACGTTTAATTTTAGGTATTCTCAAATGTTTTTTAAGCATGGTATACCGATTAACACTGCCATTAGCAATGGTGTAAGAATTCCATGGGCTCCTCCTTGCCAATTGTCAGTCATTTTCACGTTAACCGTTCTGGTAGTTTGTAGGAGTATCTCCTCTGCATTGAATCAAATTCTTAAAGCTTTTGGGATTATGTCATGTTGTGGGGACACAGTATTTTAACCATTTACTTTCCTCATTTCTAAAATGGGGACACTAGTAACCCTTATGTAGGCTTGTTTTGAGAATTAAGTGAATCAGTATTTGTAGAACATTTAAAGCAGTGCCTGGGGGGTCCTCCTAACACTGTGCCTGTATTTACTGCTGTGATTATGTGGTTTTATTGCTGCTTCTATTACTGCGTTTAGCTGTTGGGGCTCTGAAATTCTACAGTGATTTGTTTCAGCAGAGGTGTTTTTGATGCTTGTTTTGGATACTCATTCTGAAGACTCATGTTCTTTAGTTCTGGAAAGTTCTCATATTTCTTTGATAACTTTTTCACTTCATCCTTTCTTGAGCTTAAGATGTGAGATCTTTCATCTCTATCTTGAGCATCTCTTTGTCTTTTTGTTTTACAGTTTGGAAGATTATCTGGACTTCATATTTAACACTTATGTAAAGTTTCATTTGTTTTGCTAGGCATATCTTACATTTCAGTTTACTCTTTTTTCTACTGTTTGCCAAGCTGTCCATTCTTTCAGGGTCAGTTTTTTCCCCCTTTTCATTTTGATTCTTTTACTGTCATAGAGTTTCCTTAAATGCTCATTTAATCCTAGTGTATCTAATTTAAGAATATGGTAGAAGAAAAAGCTGCATATGACTTCTCTGTGTGTTTGGCCCACTGTAGGGTAAGTGGGAAAGTTGCTGGCCAGTACACTTTGGGATCCTTAAATGTCAGAATGTGGAGAAGTTTGCACTATAGTGTTAACTCTTCACTAGCTGCCCTGGATAGTTTCTTCTATTTCTTTGGAGAAATACTACTCTTTCTGTTGCCTGGTGGGTAAATGTTTTGACTGCCAGATAATCTTTGCACAAGAGTGAGGGAAGATTTTAGTGATTTTCAGTTAATCCTCCTTTTCTTTTCAATATATTACGCAACCACACTAACCTCTCAGTGTTTCCAGAATTCTCTAGGGGCTTGCCAGCTGGGTTGGCTGCTTGCTTGAGCTTCCTCTATACATTCTTTAAGCTGTGGCTTCTTCCATCATATTTCACTTGTTACTGCTTCTCTGTTTTCTAGAAATATGTTGAAATCTATATCAATTGTAACCCATCTTCCTCACTTTATGGTTCTAAATATTTATTTTTAAAATTTCCCTATCATTTTCAGGGGGTCTCAGGAAGGAGGGGGGTAAAGCTGAATGCTCAGCTTACCATTTTGAACTAAATATCTTACTGTGATGTTGTTTTAACATAATAGTGTTACTAGTTTCTAATCAAGTCCTATATTAATTTATAATATTGTTCCATATTATAGAGGAACTATATAGTGATACCAGTAACTTTTATGTTTGTGAGTGCTTTGGAAGCATTGTTTTATTCTCTAGATTTTGTTATGTTGTTGCAGTAATATTGTGAAATAGTCTAGCAGAAACAAAGCTATGTGCTTAGAGATCTTTTAAACCTAAACAAACTGGCTAGTTGCTCTGCTTAGAAGATTTAATATATTTGAGACCATTATATATAATTCAAATTTGTTTATTATTTCAATACTTTTAATTTCTCTTTACAAATAGCTCTCTCTATATATATATGTATTAAAGTTACATAAGAATTCTCTCTGTAAAATGCAAGATCTGTCTCTTAATTACTGAGGTATTTTCCTTGACACAGAAACATATATAATTCTGTGAGTCTTGGCTTTGCTTTGTGGGGTATTATTGGAGTATCTTGTGACTGGGACCTGCTAGGCTCACTGGCATTTTGCTTAGCTATAAATTATAAACAGATGGAGCTTTACCACTCCTTGCCATTTTTTTGCTTTTTACTTGGCAAGTGTTTTAAAAAAGGCCTCAAAGGAAAGGGGTGAGTGGCTTTTAAACACCAGAATTTTAAAGTTACTTCAGAGAACTTATTTGGCATGCTTACCTGGAGGAAGGTGCTCTTTCACTTTGCCTTTTTGGTAATTTCTTAATAATGTGTTGACTGTGGTGTGAGCAGGAAGAGAAATTAAGTTGTGTTCTATATTATTTTATATTATTTTATTTGAAGTCTTCCTAACTAGAGAAATATTTTGGTCAATGTAATTTACTGGAGGTCATGTAGATGGAGATGGAGGCTGCTGTAGGATTTGCCCCTTTAGAGCATTATTAGACTACATACTTATGAGAAATACATTCCAATTGGACATTTTTTTTCATGGCTGCATAGGAAGAGCACATAAGTTAATATTAATTATGATGGTGATAGTATTTTCCCTGGAGAAGTACACATCTTAATAGTTGTTAATTTTTTAACTCTGATTTGAGTACACTCCCATCTTAGACTTTATTGGTAACATAGATTTATCTTTACTCTACATTTGCATATATTACCTTTAGTGAGATGCAGATTGATTTCTCAGAGTTATTAACCTCTCCCTATCTTACTGGATGCCTTTGTTTTTGTTCTAGGTTTGTACTGTTAATTAAGCTGGGCTGTACTGTTGTGGCTTCCTTCATTCTCTGTTGGCTGCCATTCTTTCCAGAAAGGGAACAATTCCTGCAAATTCTAAGAAGACTCTTCCCAGTTGATCGTGGATTATTTGAGGCATGTTTCCTCTTCTTTCTGTTACAGTAACTTTTCAGTGACCTCTGGAGATTTCATGTAGAAGACACACAGAAACTTGAGCTGCTCTCCTCTTACAGTCATTCCTTGCTAGTTATATAACCCAGTATAACCTCTAGCTCAGCTGGCATTTTGTAGTACATTACATGAGTAGGTAATATTTATGCCACCATGAAATCAATAGTTCAGTTATATATTTCTAAGGAAATAGGGTCGATAATGAAAAGCAGCCTGAGAAGTTGCAGCTCCAAAGTTAACAGCTCTGTAATTTTTTGGTTTATATTCTCCTTTTAGTCTTAGGAAATTATTTATTAAACTCATAATCATGTTTGCTTCAGAAAGATCTCATAACTCCTTATGAGATATGTAACCTTCATCCATAGTAATTTTTAATGAGAATCTTTCATTTCATTTAGTGCTAGCTTAATCACTCTTGTTAAATTTTTATGACATGGATAATTTGATGATTTAGATTTAGTAATTAAATTAAACAAACCATTTTTCTGAAAGAAAAAGGCCTTCTAGAGACAACATATTTATAGATAATTTGCTTTAGAGTAAACATTTTTTTAAAAAGAAAGAATTAGAAAAGGATATTTATCTTATTCTTGAATATATAAATTGTTGTAGAGTTTCTTTCAGTGGATCTATAGGAGGGTGGAGCCAGCATTTTGAAAGAGATTAAGAAAGAGTTTGGTGTTGTGAAGGAACAGCAATATGTGACTTGTATGTTGATGGGGCTGCTGTTGATACTGATAATCATAAATAATCACTGTTACTGTCATCACCACTTACTTGGTGCCAGATATTTCACATGTGATTTTATTTGATCCTTACAACAGTTTCGAGGTAGCTGTAGTACCCACTTTACAGATCAGAAAACTGGGGTCAGAGATTCACATAGCTAGTGTGTGGCAGAGCTGTGATTTGAACTTTGAAAATTCTGCTTCTATCCTCTCTATATTTCCTCTAAGCTTAACACTTACATAATGAAAAGTTTAATTCTCCATGTAACCTGCCTGGCTATTGCCTTGCCTTCCATTTCAGAAATGATATTTATCATGATCATTATCAAAAGGAGTATCATATGTGTTGGAAGGTGTTGACCTCCATTCACTTGTTGCCCTCAAAATCTGAAGAGCATTTTCTTTGATCCAACAGAGGGAAATAGCATGGTACAGTGGTCAGTGATAGTTACCCCTTCATGTTAGGCCTGCACAGCTGTGAGTCAAGCAGCTGTGTAGAGGATGGGTTTCACAAGCAGCAAGCTGTAGTCACAGTTTAATTTTGAAAGTGATCTAGCACAACTGCTAATGTCTTTAAATGTCTTGATTTATTAGCAAGTAGCTTTTGCCATTGCTAGTAGGTTACCCCAGTTTCCGATGTGTGATAAAATGGATCAAATAATATGTGTTCTATGAGTTAGGGGAAAAAAAATATTTCTTAGAAAAATTTCCAAAGATGAATAACTGCAATGTTTAGGGATAGTGTGCTGCTCTTTGAAAAATACCAAGTATTTCTTGGGAACAGCTAGACTATGGTTGACTGGTGATTTACATCAATTCCCATGCAAAAAAATGGAAAATGANTGGATAATTAAATCAAATCAGTTATAAAATTGAACAAAAGCTTCATATCTCAAAAATTTGTGTATTTAGAGATTATGGGCTGTACTCTGGAGTTTAATATTTTAGTATATCAGAATATAAAAGTAACATATCTCTTTTAAGGATAAAGTAGCCAATATTTGGTGCAGTTTCAGTGTCTTTCTGAAGATCAAGGATATTTTGCCACGTCACATCCAGATAATAATCAGGTAAGATACACAAAGTTTATACGTAGTGCCTAATAAGCTACTCTGTAAAGGGTTTATGGTAGTATCTCATTTATCTGGCATCATTAGGAAATGAGGTATTTTTACCCCAGTAGTGAATTTTCCCGGTAACGTAAGCCTATCCCTCTATACAACAAAATTCTTTATTTGAAATATTGCATGTGAAAGTCTTTCTGTATTGTTACCTACTTTCCTCCTTAAAGAGAGAGTATACTGAACATGATTTAACATTATCTGAAGGAGTCACGGTTTTCAGTGGTGTGTCAGGGCTCAACCAGAGAAGAACAAGTAGAACAAGGTGGTAGCTTTACAGTTACAGGGTCTGGGCAAGCAAACTGCAAGTTCACAAGGCAGGCATTCAGGTAGGAAGGTCTAGGGAGAAGGAAGCGCAATTCAGACCCAGTTGCTTTTTGGGGTCTTGAGTTTAGAGAACCCCTCTTTTAAAGGTCCTACAGCTGATTAAGTCAGGCCTGCCCAAGAGTCTCCCTTTTGATGAACTTAAAATCAGCTGAATTAGGATTGAGTGATGGCTGCAAAATCTCTTCCCAGATGAGTGAGTAACTGGGAGAAGGGGTATCTGTCTGCTGCAAAATGGGTGCTACCTCCCTCTGTCCGTAACAGGAAGAAGCACTAGAGAGAGAAAACAAAGAACAGTAGTTCAGCCCAGCCAAGTTGACACCCCACAGAGCCACCAATAGTGGGAAAACCAGTTGTACTCCATTATAATGCTTGTTTTCGGGACTTGCAAAAGCCATTCGCCATTGTACTGAATGGCCGTGCCTTGAGCTGGTTTCCTCCCTGCCCATCAGCCATCACTAGGAGGAGCCCTGGCAGCTTCCCTCCTCTGCTGGCTTGTTCTTTCTGATTTACCATGGGCGTGAGAGTTATGTAATCAACTTTTGAGGGCCAAAAGGGGTTCTTTTGTGAGTAAATTTTATGAATGTTTGTTAAAAATATAGCATTTTCTCTTTATGCCTGCTTATATTTTCTTATTTTGAATGATAATTGATGTTTGGCTACCTTTGTATCTTCTCTGTAAATGATACTATATAGCATAAGTAACATTTACTACTATAATACTTTAGTATTATATAATCATATATTGAAGTGTGTACATATTTCAGTGTATTGGTTTACTTAAATGTTATTTGGTCTTAAGTTTAAATTGAATAAAAATAAACTTTAATTTGAAATCGACTTATGTTGATGAGTAATGTGATCCTTATACTAAAAAAATTCTTTGTTTTAGCTATAAAGAAAACAAATGTTTTTATTTGTATTAATTTTTTAGCTTTTGTTTTACATTTATGAGCCTGCTTCCTGCATGTATAAAATTAACACTTCAGCCCTCTCCCAAAAGATTCAAATTTACTCTGGTAAGTGACTCATTACTTTAGATACTTAATTCTTGCTGCAACTGATCTTTTAAGAATACTGATCATCTTGCCCTGAATAGGATTTATTGGGGTGGGAAATAAGACATTCATTCATTTGGCAAACATTTATTGAGTGACATACTTAGGTGCTGTGTTGGACACTAGACTGAACAATCAGAATCTTTCAGTTTAATTCAACAACTATTAAATTTGTGCTTTGTATCAGTCAGTGAGAGAATAGGAAGAAGAAAACGGTGGCAATAGACATATGCTTAACTAATTAAAAACAGATGATATTAACTTCTGTCAGGTATAAACTAAGTGCTGTGATAATGTAGGAAAAAGAGCTATTACTTTGCAGATTTTAGATAGCTTCTTAGAGCAGGTAGGATTAGAACCAAATTTCAAAGCTGGGCAAGTTTTTAAATAGATTATATAGCAGACAGAATTCCAGACAGGAGAGGGAGCTTGAAGATGCAGAGGTGGGGAAGGATATGGAATGCTCTGAACAGCTATATACAATAAAGTGTGTGTGTGTGTGTGTCTGTCTGTGTCTGTGTCTGTGTGCTGAGGTTAGGGGAGGATATAGTGAGAGAGAGGAGTCAAAACGGATCACACTGTGGAAGATCTTGAATGTTGGGTTGAAAAGTTGGAATTTGATTTGTGTGTAAGAAGAGCCAATGATTTTTGAGAAGGAGAAGGGGACAGATACCTGTTTTCAGAAGAGGACTTGTGTCAGTTTGAAGATTTGAAGATTGATTATCTTTCCCACAGTTCAGGGTCTCTCTGTGTGGGTTTATAAACTCCTGGTTGCATTTCTGTGTATTTAAAATTTTGTTCCTATGTGCCTTGGTCTATAAAGTGACATTTAAAAAAATCTTTGGAAAGAAATATCAAGAAAATTTAGATCATGAAAACAGTAAGTCTTACTGGACTTATAAGGGGACAACGTTTTAGAAATTGGGGTTTCAATTCTGGGACTACTACTTATTTACACTGCATTCTAAAAATAAGCCAGACATAGCATAATGGTGAAATATTTCAAAAGTGCCTATCAGTACCACAGTGTAAAAAGACAGTTTCATGTATTGCTCTTTTCCCTTTTACTAACGATCTCTGCTGTTTCATTCTGTGAGTGAACTCAATGCATACTAAATAACCCGTGATTACTATTCTGTAGGTCTTTCAGAACAAGAGGCATATGGTTAGGAAGGCTCTGATGTCTTCAATAAGCCTGACATGAAAGATTACAAGCTTGTGTAAGATTATGTTGTTTTTGTAGGAAATAGCATCCTAAAGGTATATTTCAGAGGTAAAGGAGTGGATTTCAGAGTTTGAGTAACTGTTAGCAGTGCTAGAGCTGACTCCTTTTAGGATTGTAAGCCAGAAAAAATATTTTTATTTTTTAATTTCCAAATTTTGTTCTGTTTGCTATTTTTAATATAAGCCACTGTTTACAAAACTTAGAAAGACTTCCATTAATGACTTTTGTTACTTTTTTCATAATGTTTTGAATTCTTATTGAATACTTGTGAAATCTTTAAAAACATTTCCCATTATAATTATTTTAGTGTTTTCCTTTTAGTCAAGATTGAATTATTTCTCAGTATAAGTCAATAATTGGGATAATTGATAGTGGGATAATGAATACTAATACATAGCAGCAAAATGATTTATATTTAATTTATTCAAGTAGTATAATTTATTGAGTGTGCTCTAATGTGTCAGGTTCTTTTCTAGGTACTGGAATGTAAGTGAATAACATTTAACATCCCTGTTCTCTTAATTGGGGCCTTTCATGCTAGTGGCAGGAGAAGGACAATGAATGAAATAAATCAGGTAACTAGTTAGCAACCAGGAGTAATGAGGGCTATGAAGAAAATAGTGTTAATGTGAAAAGATTGCTGGTGGGACTTGGTTGGGGGCTGACTTTCGATTGCGCAAGGGAAGGTCTTTCTAGGGAAGTGACATTTGACCCTAGAACTGAATGACCAGAAGAAGACAATCAAATAAGGTCTGGGCTCTGACCTGATAAAAGCAAATCTTCCCTTTAGGCAGGAACACATCTGGTATGTTCAAGACATAAAGGAATAGGCGTGAAGTGGCTGACATGGAGTGAGTGAAGGAGAGAGTAAGAAATAGACTGGAAGAGGAAAGCAGGCCCCAGATGATAAAGGAGTTTGGATTTTATTTTAAGTGCAATGTGAAGCTACTGAGGACTTTTTTTTTTTTTAAGAGAGCAAGGTACAGGCTTTTATTTAGAGATAAAGTGAAAGGACAGAGCTCCCAGCTCACCCCAGGAGGGGACCAGAGAGTCCCTATTGAGGACTTTTAGGAGGGAAATTTACATGATCTGACACTGGTTGGGCGGAGAGTGGACTGTGACGAGGCAAGAGTGTGCCAATTTAGGAGGTTATTGCATTTGTCTGAGAGAGAGATGGAGGTGGCTTAGACCACGCCTCTGCTGCCATCAACAGAGAAGGGAGAGAAGTTGGTGAATATTGTCTTTAGAAGGTGGCATTGGTAGGATTTGCTGATGGATCTGATGTGTAGTATGACAAGACAGTAATCCAGGTTTTTTGCTTGAGCAACTGGATTGGATGTATACAGACATGTCATATATGCAGGATAAACTTCTGAAAATCTAATTTTTTATTTAAAACCTCAAATAACAAATGATTACTTTATAAAACATTAATTTTATTGAAGTTCATGTTTTAAGAACACTTAAATAGATTTGTTTTGATTAGATTTTGACCTTGTCCTTCATGCTTTTTAATTTAAACTGTCAGACATTCCAAGAGATGATGAGGGTATGATTGTTGTGTCTTAAGTATTTAGTGGTTTAGTTTATTAATAACTCAATTAATTTGTTTTAGATGTTAAATATAGCTTTAATTTCATTGTTTCAAAAATGTTAGTTATTAAACTTGAACAAAATGTATGCATATTAATGTTTTGTATATATTTTCCTTGTAGATAGAGGGTACATTAAGCTTTAAGTTTTTACTTAGTTATTTTTATTCAGATTCATAATTAAATTTCTATTATATTTCATAAGTTGTTTTATCTTTATTTTCCCCCCTTTTCCTTGAAGGTTAGCTGTGCATTGTCATTCTTTTTATTTTCTTTCCAAGTCCATGAGAAGTCCATTCTCTTGGTATCATTGTAAGTAAAAATGTTTCAAGTATGTGTTTTATTTCTTATTACGTGTTTATGATATATAATTTATTATTTATACATAAGCAACAAAGATAAAACTACAGAAATGTCATATAGTTGCATAAAATTATTTCATAAAATCATTTTTATTTCTAGAATAATTTTACTTCTTTATAAAATATATTAAACTGAAAAAAATTCATTGAATTATTGCTGATGTCTTACTTCTTCCTGTTTCTTCATATATATTTTCTATGTGCTAATAAAAATAGGTCTTCCAAAGAGAGTTTCCTCAGGTTGGAGCCTGTGTGTCGTCCCTGCCTTTTTCATTTCCACGTCTATTCAGTAGCCTATTCTCTCCAGTCATCTCTTTAGGGACTTTCTTATGTTGCCTTTCTATTTCTTTCATCAAAACCTTTGTTCAGACCCTATTGCTAATCCCTAACCAGACTACTTTGTTTGGGAACATAAATTTTTGTCCTGTTTCTCATAGAAATTGGGGTATATTATCCCAATATTAATATAATATTTGACCAGGACACACAGGAATATTTGAATCCTGCCCTAGATTAATCATAGTCCATTGCTACTCCACCCCTCACCCTGTGTTTGCTAGATTCCTGGAAGATACACATACAGAGTAATAAATGGAAGGATGTACCATTTCTGTTAGGTGCAGCTGTGGACTGAAATGTCAGTGCAGAGCTTTACAGTAAGCTGGACCAGCCTATGTAAGATTACTTCTTTTCTTTGGATAAACAGTCTCATACCATTGCACACTGGGACAATAGCTTAATTTCATCCTCCTAAGTCTAAACCTGAGTTAGATCTTAGCACTATTATGTGGGGCTAGGCTGACCCTATACAAATTCCTAGCATCAGGTGGTAGAACTCTGGAAAGGTATTACTTTCAAACATGTATGTTTTCCCCAGAATTTCTACATCATAGAAATTCAAGGCAGCCCATTTAGTGACCTATAGTCTGGCCATTCACATTAGCTCTTGAGCCCTGAATTTCTGGGGGTTCATAAACTCTACAACTGTACATAGATTACTAATAATAGTGCAGAGCTTTAATTTGATTAAATATTTTACAGTTAGCATTAAAAGTTCCTTTGGACCTGGTCCCAGCTAATCTAGCATTAAACAAATATTCCATTCAATAAATATTATTGAGTGCCAGCTATTTGCCAGGGACTGTTTTGTGTAGTTGGGATATATCTGTGAACAACAGACAAAAGTCCCTGCTATTTAAACTTTCATTCTCAAGGACAGACACTAATAACTAATAAAAATAAAAAATTAAGTAGTTTGGGGTGATAAAGGCCACAGGGAGAAATAAAACAGTGCAAGCGAAGTTGGGAGTACTGGCAGTGGGGGTACAGGAGCAAGTGCAGGTTGCTATTTAAAATATGGATGTCAAGGTAGGCCTCATTGAGAAGATACTTGAGGGGACTGGAGGTGAGGGAATTAGCTGTGTGGATATCTGGGGGAGTAACATTCTAGTCAGGGTGCAGCCAGTGGGAAGACCCTAAGATGGGAGGATGCCTGATATGTTTAGTGAATAGAATGACTACTGTGGTCAGAGTGTAGTGGGCAAAGTAGAGAATAATAGGAGGTGAAGTTAAAGAGGAAATGGGTGTAAATTATATAGGACCTTATAGGCCATATTTGGAACTTTGGCTTTTATTCTGAAGGAAATGGGATACCATGGAAGGGTTCTGAGGAAGAAGCATGATCTGAGATGATGTTTTAAAATAATCACTCTTCTTGTGAAATCATGCACATTAAATATATTCAGTTCTTTGTATATCAGTTATACCTCAGTAAAGCTGTTTTAAAAAAGGCTTCTGGCTACAGGTCAAGAATAGGTCTAGATTGTATGGAGTAAGGTAGAAAACATGGAGGCAATTGGGAAAGCCATTACTACAATCCCAAGTGAGGTGGTGCTGACTGGGTCTGTGGTCAGAGTGTAGTGGGCAAAGTAGAGAATAATAGGAGGTGAAGTTAAAGAGGAAATGGGTGTAAATTATATAGGACCTTATAGGCCATATTTGGAACTTTGGCTTTTATTCTGAAGGAAATGGGATACCATGGAAGGGTTCTGAGGAAGAAGCATGATCTGAGATGATGTTTTAAAATAATCACTCTTCTTGTGAAATCATGCACATTAAATATATTCAGTTCTTTGTATATCAGTTATACCTCAGTAAAGCTGTTTTAAAAAAGGCTTCTGGCTACAGGTCAAGAATAGGTCTAGATTGTATGGAGTAAGGTAGAAAACATGGAGGCAATTGGGAAAGCCATTACTACAATCCCAAGTGAGGTGGTGCTGACTGGGACCAAGATAGTTAATAGCGGAAGAAGTGAGCGGTGGTCAGTTATGGATATATATATAGAACTAGAGGTTTCCTGATTATTTGGATGTAGCATTGAGAGAAAGAAAAGTCAAAGGTGTAACCATGTTTTTTGCCCAGAATTGGAAAGATGGAACAGTCATTTACTGAAATGGGAAAGACAGCAAGTGGAGCAGCATTAGGTTAGATGGACAGGGTGGGAGGTTTCCAAGTTTAGTGTTGGACATGTCTTTGGACATGCAAGTGGAGATGCTGAGTTAGCATTTAGATATAAATCTGAGTTGGATATATGAGTGAGTTCCAGAGAGATTGAGCTGGAGATAAAAATTTAGTAGTTTGTCACTAGAGAGGACATTTAAGATCAAGAGATTGGATGATATCACCAAGGAAGTGAGTATGTACAGAGAGGAGTACCAGGGACTGAGTCCTGGACCACACGATGTTAAGAGGTATGGGAGACGAGGCAGAAAGGAATGACCAGTAAAGTATAATGTAACACCACAAGAGTTGGTGCCCTGAGTGAAGAGTTGGAAGCTGAGGAAAGAAGGTGTTTTAAGGACATGAGGTCCTCTGTCTTGCACCACTCACAAAAATTAATGTGAAATGGATTAAACACTTAAATGTAAGACTTGAAACCATAAAACTACTGGAAGAAAACAGGGAAAAAACTCCTTGACATTGGTCTTGTCAATGATGTTTTGGATATGACACAAAAAACTCAAGGAACAAAAGCAAAAATAAAAAATGGGATGACATCAAACTAAAAAGCATCTGCACAGCAAAAGAAATGATTAACAAAATTAAAAGGCAACCTACAGAATGGTAGAAAATATTTGCAAACCATATATTTGATAAAGGGGCTAATATTCCAAAATATATAAAGACCTTATATAACTTAGTAGTAAAAAAATGAATAATGTGACTAAAAATGGGCAAAAGACCTGAATAAATATTTTTGCAAAGATATATTGAATCATCATTTAAAATGAATAATGTGACTAAAAATGGGCAAAAGACCTGAATAAATATTTTTGCAAAGTATATAACTTAGTAGTAAAAAAATGAATAATGTGACTAAAAATGGGCAAAAGACCTGAATAAATATTTTTGCAAAGAACAGGCACATGAGAAGGTGCTCAGCATTACTGACCATCAGGGAAATGCAAATCAAAACCACAATAAGACATCACCTCACATCTGTTAGAATGGCTTTTATCAGAAATCAGATAAGGGCTGGTGAGGATGTGGAGAAAAGGGAATTCTTGTGCACTGTTGGTGGGAATAAATTGGTGCAGCTAATTTATGTAGAAAATAGTATAGAGGTTCCTCACAAACTTAAAAATAAAACTTTTGTATGATCTAGCAATCCCAAATGTGGGTATATATCTGAAGGAAATGAAATTACTATTTTGCAGAGGTTTCTACTTGCCCATCTGTGTTCACTGAAGCATTTGCAATAGTCAAAAGACTTTTCCATCCTAGTGGTTACGAAGTGGTATTTCATTGTGGTACTGATTTGTGTTTCCCTAATGACTAATGATGTTGAGTGTCTTTTTTTTTTTGTCTTTGTTGGAAATAGGTATATCTTCAGAGAACTGTGTATTTGAGTCCTTTGGCCAGTTTTTAAGTGACTGTCTTTCTGTTGAGTTTTAGTTCTTTATATATTCTGGATATTATACCTTTATCAGGTATATGATTTGCAAATATTTTCTCCCATTCTTTGGGTTTTCACCTTGTAGTGTTCTTTGATGCACAAAGCTTTACATTTTGGTGAAGTCGAGTTTATCTATTCTTTTGTTTCTTGTGCTTTTGGTGTTATATCTAATAAACTATTGACAAGTCGAAGGTAATAAAGATTTTACCTAATGTTTCTTCTGAGAATTTTATGGATTTAGCTCTTATATTTGGTCTTTCATCCATGATGAGTTAATTTTAGTACATGGAGTGAGATAGGTAGACAATTCGTTAGATAAGTACACGGTAGAAATTACAAAGGTTGGCCTTGCTGAAGAGCAGAGTAGAGAAATAGAGAAAAAACTGGTAGAGAAAGTGGGGTCAAGCAAGGTTTTTTTGTTTTAAGTTAGGAGAAATAATGGCATGGTAAAGGTCAGAAGGAACACTGATGGTACAGGAAAGGTAAGAGTTGCTGGAGTAGTGTCCTTCAGAAAGGGAGATGGCGTTGGATCTGGAGCACAAATGAAATAGGCTTTGGACAGATGCATGAATAGTTCATCTTAATAAAAAGAGGCAACAGGCTATATTGGTACAGATGCTGGGAAGAGAGATGTGATGGTGGCCTCTGAAAGTTCTTTGCACTGCCTCAGTTTTTCCTACTTAAGTGGAAGGCAAGGTCCCTAACCAAGAATGGGTTAGAGCTGTTAGGAATATGAGGGGACAGAAGGTGTGAGTTATTTTTTTAAGGAGACACAGTATGAAAAGACTAAGGGAATGTGTAGTAATTGCTGGACAGTTGAATATCATGATTATGTACTTGAAGTGAGAACAGTTATTGTGGGTAAATGTTTTCCTCCAGAGCAGTTGTTCAATGTGGTTGGAGTAAGTGCAGGTGGAGTTGGGTATTTCAAGGTTTATGGTTTGTCTACTGAGGAAAACTCACTTGCTCAGGGCTTGAGAGTGAATGCATGGGAGCGATTGTAAAGACTGACCTTAGAATTTAAGCTGCTTAAAAAAGGAAAAGGGCATTAAAAGAGTGAGGCAAAGTGAAAAGGTGGTAGGAACAAATCTACTGAAGGTTTTGTTGGGGTCAAAAGATTGTTGTAGCTAGAGTACTGAAAAGGTAGGAGATGGTGGTCAGAGTGAAATCGATGATTGGTGATTTTGGAGGGGTTATAGTCTAGCAACCCAATGGTGTAGGCTGGAGATGAAATCACTGGCAGAGAGGAGTTCCTGTTATGGAGAGGTCAGGGTATTGGGAGATCATCTATGTATATATATGCTACAATTTCCAGGGATTCAGATGAGGGTCATAGAGAGTGACAGTAAGGAGTTGAAATTACTGGGTAATGAGGGAAGTGAACTTTGTGGTTGGTGGATGATAACAAAGATGAGAAATAATAGGGGATAAAGCCTGATGGCATGAGATTCAAAGCTGGAGATTGTCAGGATGTAGGGAGGGAGACCTGGTGTGGAAGAAGTGGTAAGTGCAAGGAGGTTAGGTGCAAGGAGTGTCCTGTGTCCCTCCGCTAGGCCAAGTTGTTTAAAGGCTATGGAGACAATAACAACAAAACAGACACAATTGGGAAGGCAAAGCAGCATTTCCTCAGGAGAGGTTCCGGATTTGTTTTGAACAAGGAAGGAAGCAAAGGTTCAGAGACCAGATTGAGGCTATAGGGGATTTTGCTGTTTAATTATAAATATCAAGTACCTTGAAGTTAAGGGCTGCATTATATTCATCTTTGTATTCTTTGTACATAAGTTTTCACTAAATGCTTGTGTTCAGTAAACAAATAATGAATGAGTGGGAAAGACTAAGATCTAGAAAGAGGAAATGTTTATTGAGCACCTACTATGTGCATATTTTTAACATGAATACATTCTGATTTAAAAAGTATCAAGCAATGAAACTCAAAGTCCTCAAGTATTTTCTTCTGGTGCAGTAGCTTTTGGCCAGTTTGTATTCCACACTTTATATCTCATAGGCTAGTTGACATGGGGAAAAGCCATCCTTCTAAGAAAGGAAGAAAATGCTCAAATCTTTTAAAATAAAGTGAACCAAAATAAGTTATGCAACCACCACCATCTAATGATAACTAAAAAGTTATTTTATTAAAAAAAATAAGCTGGACAATACTTATAAAAGTTCTTTCAACTACGTAACAATACAAGTATTATTATTATATTTACACATAAGAAAAAAAGTTGTATTAATCATTTGTTCGAGGTCATAGAGTATGTGGCAGAGAAGAGCCTAGGGCTCAGGTCTTCTGACAATCTCCCTGCTTCTGAGCATCACCACAGTTGAATCCAGAAGGTAACAGGACCCGGGGAGGTGGTAAAGAGGTCAGAGTTTGGACCTATCACCTAAACAGCTCTTTGATAAAGCCAGTGGTTCCATTTATTGGCATTATGCTTCCTGTTACTATACTGTTGTTCTTTTCATGTAACCTGTTCTTTTCTTTTATTCTGCCATTATCAACTTGTTTCCCTTTTCACTTCTTCTTGCCTCTGCTGTCCTCTCTTCAGTGGCAGATGATCTGTCTAACGTTAGCTTTTAACTTAGCTGAATATGACACTGATCATAAAAAAAAAGAAGTTTGAAAACCACTATACTGAGAATTCATTGCATATTTCCCAAGTAGGATGAAATACATGAAAAAGCTCTCTTTCTTTGGATGTTCAGTTCTGTTTATCTGATCCTTTCTTTAAGCTAGTGTTTGAAAGAGAAAAAATTCCATTAAAGGAATACTGGGAGGAGTAGTTCTCCAGATATGAGGAGCTGACACTTTCTTTGTGTTACAATTCATTTAGTTTGGATTGATAGGTAAGCAAAAGTGAATCAGTAGTCTATACGGAGACCTTGCTGGCTGTTTTTCTTGTTTTTAGCTACCCTGAAAATCAGATCAAATGTGTTTTTACAAGTAAGAGTTAAAGTTATATTCCATTAAATTTTTTTTTTCTTTATCCTTTAGACCAGTCTGCTTAGTTTTAAGTGAAATTCCTTTTATGTCTACTTGGTTTTTACTTGTGTCAACATTTAGGTGAGTCAAACCAATTTTACATATAGTTCTTAAAAACACATTTAAAACTTTTTTACAAAGTTGTTATGGTTTGAATTGACAGTTCTCTTTTGATGTTTTTTTCTGTTTTTCCTTACAGTATGCTGCCCCTTCTATTGAAGGATGAACTCCTAATGCCCTCAGTTGTGACAATGATGGCATTTTTTATAGCTTGTGCAACTTCGTTTTCAATATTTGAAAAGACTTCTGAAGAAGAACTGCAATTGAAATCCTTTTCTATTTCTATTCGGAAATATCTTCCATGTTTTACATTTCTCCCCAGAATTATACAACATTTGGTAAGTTGTTCAGTTTTTAAGGTGCGGTACTTAGCATAGCCTATTAAAAAAAATTTGTAATACATTTTTTATAGCTTTTTTTGAGATATAATTCACATAAATTCACCCATAAAATCCACCCATTTAAAGTGTACAATTCAGTGGTTTTTAAGTATGTGCATAGACTTGTACATTACCATAATCTAATATTAGATCGTTTCCATCACCCCAAAAGGAAACCCTGTACCCATTAGCAGCCATTCCCTGTTCCACTTGCACCCCTAACTGCCAGCCTTGGCAAACACTAATCTGCTTCCTATCTCTATTGATTTGTCTATGTGAACATTTTATATAAATGGAATGTATTAGTCGGCTAGGGCTCCCTAGCAAAATACCACAGACCAGGTGGGTTTATCAATAAAAGTTTATTTTCTCACAGTTCTGGAGGCTAGAAGTCTAAGATGAAGGAACCATTAGAATGGTTTCTGGTGGGGCCTCTCTTTTTGGCTTGCAGGGGACCTTCCTGTGTTCTCCTATGGCCTCTTCTCTGAGTGCATGTGTTGAGTTCTTCGGTGCCTCCTCTCCTTATAAAGACGTTAGTCCTGTCGGATTAGGCCCCCGTCTGTATGATCTCATTTAACCTTCCTAAAGTTTCTATCTCCAAATGAAATCACTGGGAGGTTGGGCTTCAACATATGAATTTTGCGGGGACATAATTCAGTCCATAATGTGAAATCATACAAAAATGTGGTCTTTTTTGACTAGCTTCTTTCACTTAGCATAATGTTTTTGAGGTTCATTCATGTAACCTGTATCAATCTTCATCCCTTTTTATTGCTGAATTATATTCCATTACATAACTTTACCATAGTTTACCCATTCATTATTGATGGACGTTAGGTTGCTTCCACTTTTTGGCTGGTAGGAATAATGCTGCTGCTGTAAAGATTTATTTACATGTTTACCAGAGCACGTATGTTTTCAGTTTCCTTGCATATATACCTAATAGTGGTAATTATATTTACCATTTTGAGGAGCTACCACACTGTTTTCCAAAGTAGTACATGATTCTTCATTCCCACCAGCAATATACGAGGGTTCCAATTCCTCCATGTACTTGATAGCACTTGATATTGCCATTTTTAGGACAGTCATCCTAGTAGTTATGAAATGGTATCTCATTGTGGTTTTGGTTTGCATTTCCCTAGCTACTAATGATGTTGAGCATCCTTTCATGTGCTTATTGGCCGTATATCTTTGGAGAAGTGACTATTCAAGTCCTGTGCCTGCCCACTTTTAGTTGTGTTCTTTTTATTTTTGTGTTCTAAGATTATTAAAATATATTCTTGATATAGGTTCCTTCCTAGATATATGACTTGGAAATACTTTTTAACATTTTGTGGGTTGCTCTTTCACTTTCTTGATGGTATCATTTGAAGCACTGAAGTTTTGGTTTTTACTAAGTCTAATATTTATTTTTTTCTTTTGTTGTTCGTGCTTTTGGTGTCGTTTCTACAAAACCATTCTGTAACCAAAGGTCATGGAGATTTACTCTTATGTTTTAAGAATTTTACCTTTAGGCCTGATTCATTTTGAGTTCATTTTTGTGTATTATGTGATGTAGGAGTCCAATTTCAGTAGGTCTTCTAGCACCAATGAAATGTGTTGCACCTTTGTTGAAAATTAACTGATTCTAAGTGTACGGTTTATTTCTGGACTCTCAGTTCTGTTCCAGTGATCTATGTCTATTATGCCTGTCTAACATTGTCTTGATTAACGGTAGCTTTGTAGTTCAGTATTAAAATTGAATATATGAATCCTCTTTGTTCTTTTTCAAGATTATTTTAGCTATTCTTTGTCCCTTGCATTTCTGTATTATTTTTAGGATCAGCTCAATTTCTCCAAAAATCCAGCAGAGATTTTGGTAGGGATTACATTGAATCCATGTATCAATTTATGGGGTATTGCCATCTTCACAAGAGTTGGTCTTCCAAACCCATAAACATAGGATGTATTTCCATTATTTGTTCTTTAATTTCCTTCAACAATATTCTGTGGTTTTCTGTGTACAAGTCTTACACTTTTGTTAAATTTATATCTACTATTTTATTCTTTACGATGCTTTTGCAAATGAAATTTTCATAATGTCCATTGCTTCTGCATATACACACAATTGATTTTTTAATACTGAATTTGTACTGTATGCTTTAAGTTTTTAGTGGATTCCTTATGATTTTCTATATGTACATCATGTCATCTCCAAATTAATGATAATTTTACTTCTTCCTTTCTTATCTGCTGCCTTTTCTTTTTCTTGTCTAATGACCCTGGCTAGAACCTCCAATACAGTGCTGAATACAAATGGCAAGCATGGAGATCCTCACATCTTTCTGATTTTAGAGGGAAAGCATCCAGTCTCTATCATTAAGTATGTTGTAGATTTTATATAGATGGCCTTTAGAGGAAGTTTTCAATTCCTAGTTTATTGAGTGTTTTTGTCAGGAAAAGGTAATGGATTTTGTCAAATGCTTTTCCTGTCCAAAGATACGGTCATGTCATTTTCTTCCCCTTTATTCTGTTAATATGGTATTGATTTTTGTATTTTGAACTAAGTTTTCATGCTTGGGATAAGTCCCACTTGATCCTGATATATGCTTCTGGTTTGGACTTGCCAGTATTTTGAAAACACTTTTGCATCTATATTCATAAGGGACATTGGTCTGTAGATTTTTTTTTTCTTGTGATGTCTTTGTCTGATTTTTGTCAGAGTTAATACTTGTTTCATGGAATGAGTTGGGAAGTGTCCCTTTTCTACTTGTTGAGAGAGTTTATGGATTGGTGCGTTTATGCTTTCATAAACATTTGGTATAACTCACCAGTGAAGCCATCTCTGCCTGGGCCTTTCATTGGGGACTTTAAAAATGATTTATTCAATCTCTTGTTATAGGCATACTTGGACTTTCTGTATTTCTTTAGACAGTTTCAATGGCATGTCTTAAGAATTTATTTCATCTATGTTGTTATCTAATTTGTTGGCATATAGTTGTTCATAGTTTTCTTTTATCATCATTTTATATTTTTATGTATGGTTAGGTGTGTTCTCCTTCTTTCTTCCATTTTGCGAATTTGTACGTTGTCACTTTTTTCCCTTGGTCAGCTAGCTAAAATTTGTTGGGTTCATTGATCTTTTCACAGAACCAATTTATTTTTCTTATTTTTGTTTTCTACCTAATTGATTAGTTATAATTTTGCCATTTCTCATGCTTGCTTTGGGCTTGGTTTACTCTTTATCTAGTTTCTTAAAGTTTAAGGTCAGGTGATTAATTGGAGACCTTTCTTCTATTTTTATATAGGCATTCAAGCATATAAATTCCCCACTGTGTCATCTTTAAGCAGCATTCCATATATTTTGATAGAAGTTTTTTATTTAAAAAGTCCATTTCTATTGTGATTTTTTCTTTGGTTCACAAATTATTAGAAATTTGTTCAGTTTCCAAATATTTGGGGATTTCCCAGATTTCTTGTTTCTCATGTGTTTGTGTAACATACTTTGTATTATTACTGTATTTTCAAGTGTACTGACTTTATGTTAATTTCTCCTTGATTTTTAAAGGGTATGTTTGCTAGAAATAGAATTATTATCTTTCAGCAATTTGAATGTCACCCATCCCACTGCCTTGGATATCTAATAAGCATGTAAAACTAAGTACACATACAACTTGTCCTCAGTAAGATTAACAGCTGACTTCTCATCAGAAAACACGGGATGCCACAAGTACCCTCCAAAGGGAAAATCCCTGAGTCAACCTTAATGGGGAATCAAAATTTCTGAAGTAAAATCAGGATGTTTCAATCAGTCCTGTATTTCTTAAGTTTGAAACTTTTAATTTGATGATTTTATTTCAGAAATTTTGATTCCCCATTAAGGTTGACTCAGGGATTTTCCCTTTGGAGGGTACTTGCAGTCTGTTTATACCTGTTTGTAAGCTTTTTTGCCTCCTATCATTCCCACTCTTCCATCTGGAATGATTGCTGCAATACTCTATTCAGGTCTACTAGCCCTGTTACAGCCATTAAAGCATCTTTGGGGTTCCATTTATGTCTCACCTCCTTCATGAAAGTCACTGACTACTGTTCTCACTCCTTGCTTTCTACTTTTACTTAAGCAGCTCCTGTATACTTCTGTACTATGCTAAGGGTAAAATGAGTAAGATATGGCTGGTCTTTGTCTTAAAGGAGCTCACTGTCTACCGCTAAACTAATTTGGTAGCCACTAGACGTGGAAATCTACACTCAGTAAAATTAAATAAAAAATTTAGCTTCTCAATCACAGGAGGCACATTTCAAATGCTCAGTAGGCACATGTGGTTAACAGCTACTCTTGGAGTATACAGATAGAGAACATTTCTATCATTTCAGAAAGTTTTATTGTACAGTGCTGGTCTAGGGAAGAAAACAGTGCTATACAGTTACAATAAATGCAATAATTATTTTTACTATTCATTTTGGCATTTAGTAAAATGTGACCTTGTGATTTTATTTAGCTAGCTCACACATTACCCTAATTAAATGGAAAACTCTCTGAGGCCAGAGGACTACATTTTCTGTCTTATGCACCACCATTATTTACTACATATAGCACTAGTTTGTTGAAAGTGTTCAGTGAATATGAAATGCAATTTTCCATTTGCCATAGATGGATTTTTCATAGATGGGTTCTTAGATTAACTTACAATTTTACATGCTGTAGGGACAAAGGGCCCTGCAGCATGCTGTGAATTAATCCTGACTAGCAGTATTACTTATTCCAGATACCTTTTGTCAGTGGCCAGGTGGTATAAAGGATAACACAGGGATTCTTAGGCTTTGGCTACACATGGGAATCATTTGGAGAGCTTTAAAAAATACTGAAGTCTACCCTCGGAACTCGGATTTTAACCCTTCCCCCCACATCAGATGATTCTAACATGGAGCCTAGGTTGAGGTTCACCTGTCAGAGATTGGACCCCCAACCTTACCTTCAATTCTGCTTTTTGACAGCTAGCTATAAATAAATGTTACCAGTACATTTAAGCCTTACCTCTTACACTACTCAATAATACTTTTTTTTCCTCCTTATAGTTTATCATCTCAATAATCACCATGATCCTTCTGACACTGATAACTGTCACACTGGATCCTCCTCAGAAATTACCGGACTTATTTTCTGTATTGGTATGTTTTGTATCCTGCTTGAACTTCCTGTTCTTCTTGGTATACTTTAACATTATAATCATGTGGGATTCAAAAAGTAGAAGAAATCAGAAGAAAATAAACTAACCCTGTCAACAAATGTGAAAATGCTAACAGTGCTAACAGGTGTTTTGAACTTTTTGCTCTGTATAAATCATAAATAAAATAATCATTTTGAGAATCATGGAATTATAGGAAAAGAAGTGGTAAAAAGTCACTGTCTATACAAAATAAATGTATACAGGGAAAAACACTCAATGGAAGGTTTTATTTTCTAACTGTTGAGTGGCCAAGACATACTGCAGTTTTATTAATATTCAGTTATTCAAGTATGAAAGTAAAAGAAAAATGTCCTTAATCCCAGTATTTACTTGGGAAACATACTATATAACTTGTCTTGAGAATAATCTGCAAATACAGTAAACTTAATGGGAGAAATTTAGCCCACTAAAAAAAAATTAGCCTGATTTTGATATTCAAATTTAATTTTCCTTACATTTTAGGATGCAAGTAATTTGTATTTTATTCTTTAGAAATGGTATCTCAGGGGTTAAACTTGTGATAATCTTTTAAATTACTATAAGAATGCAATTTAAACTGCTTGAAGTTGGTGCCTTCTTGTGCAAATTTAAATTTTTTTTAATAAAGAAGAGACATTAACCTGTGTTCCTATTTATTTTGAAGAATGGTGATATACTTAAATACAGTTAAACAATAAATTTTCCTGAATTTAAATCTAAGTAGTTTGTGTCTTTAAGTAGTTAAGATCACTAGTTTGAAACTTCTAGGATCATTCTGTTTATTTGAAATGGTCTTATACAGGATTTTATCCTGCAGTTCTTTTTTGTTACGACATGGTTCAAGGTTACCACTGCCATAACCATTGATTCATCTCATGCTTCATGTTAATTCGGCCCTGTAATACTGTATCATCCATATCCATGTTGTAGTTTCTCAAAGAAAGGTATGTTTTCTTTGGTTTCTGTAATTAAAATAAAACAGTCATTTTCCTATTAACATATTTTTAATGGACAGATTTCTTTCTTAAGACATCCATCAAAGCGTATTCACTAAGTGGTGATATATTTTAAAACAATGCAAGCCAAACACATACACACATAAAGAAAACTTGGCTCTAGACATGGACAGCCACAGGCTGATGCAAAGGGTAGGTGTTTCTAAGTCTGATAAAGGAAGCGGGTTTAGACAAAGAAAAAATCAAGAAGTATTTCTTTCTCATAGCAAATGTACATGAAGACTCAAAGGGCAGGCCAGTACTCAAAAACAGCCTTGAATCACTGCCGAATCAGCAGGAACATTCCTGTCCATGGTCACCATCTGTAATCACTGTGCCCAAACGTCAGCATCTTGGCTGGCTGGTGTGGTCTTATTTTTTTATTTTTTGTAGTAGCATACTTGCATTTAACACAGGATATTGATTTAAATCAGTGATGAGGAAGTTCTAATTTGTAAATAATTGGGATAGAGAAACATTATTTGAAAAGTATTATATAAATATTAGTAAAATAGAATGCACCTATACTCAGGGTGTTTCATAGGTAAATTCTCTATAAATAAAACATTTTCCAGGTGACTTAATCTAATCATATCAAGTTACACTGTAGTTTAGGAGACATGTAGCAATTATAAGTATCTCTTACATGTTTAAGTAAGAGTCCACTTTGAACTTTGAGAAACCAATTTAAGAGTCCACTTTGAACTTTGAGAGTTTAGGTTCCAAAATTCCAAAAATGTCCAGTGATGAATTAAGATCACAGAAATAGGTAACTGCAAAGCACTTCTCTCAGCTACACTCAGGATTATTTGGGATGTTTAATAGAGATATTTAGGTTGTACAAATATATTAAAGATTTCTCATTTTCTTCACTAATATACCTGTCAAAAAATGAGCCCTTCTAAGTTATTTTCAAGTTCACTTTAGAGGGAAGGACCATTCTGAGAGATGCAGTTTTCTGTTGCCAATAATCATAGGTTTGCTCCTTAAAATGAAGGGTGTATGTTCATGTATCAAATATAAGGCATACAGAAGTCATTTTCTCTGGAGGGCATAGAGAGGGGAGAAAAATCCCAGATGTAGCATTCTGTCCAAATGATAAACCACAACTAAGTGAGTGAAACATTTACAAAAGTCAAGGCAGCCAGAGGAGCCTCTCTGTTCAACAGAAAGAGTAAAAGATGGATAGGATGTAACTAAGTAACGGCTGGAGTAACGCAATGGTTTCAAGTGTCAATTGGTGTCTCTTCTGTTATGTTCATTGGAAGATCAGGGCCAAGTGTATCCCCCACTTTCTCTGTGAAGCACCCACCCCGCCCCCCTTATAAACATTAGTTTTGTGTGTGGGTCTTTCTGCTTTGTCCTTCATGTGGCCTCCAAGGGTGATAAAGCGAGAGTCATCTGATCTATAATGAAGAGAACTGGGAAATGATTCTTAGACCCAGCTGTTCTGAAAGGCAAAAGCTTAGAATATCAAGAGGTCAAACTTCAGTAACTGATTTAATAGCATTACACACATACCTACATACCTTGGATTACATATGAGACCAATCTACTTCTTAATCCTTTATTTCCTGACTAACAATGTAGGTTTCTTTATATGTTTGGCTTACATTCTAAGGTTAGTTTTCAATGCTTAGAACACAAAGGAATGATCTTTTTTGGAATATTTTAGGTAATGTTCTATTATAAGGACAGTATCACAAAGTACATTTAACAATATCTTTAAAAATAATTAAATAGTGCCAATAAAAACAGTGAAAGCAACTAGGCTTAATAGTTGGGTTATTGTTTAGTTTCTAGGTCATTTAAATTAATAGTTAAAATTAACTCATTTTCATTTTAAGGGTAAATCTGAAATTTCTCTAAATGGAAAATTAGTTCCTTTCAATCTTAGTATGTTAAATTTTGTTTCATATTTTCATGTAGTATTTTTATTTTCATGATACACTGAATCAAATGACATGGTAACATCTTTAAAAATTTTGTCAAGACTTAGGGCAAGAACAAGGGGAAATGCACTCTTTTCTCTGAAGAAATAAATGGTCTAAGTATAAAAGTTTCAAAAAACTGTGTTAATGTGATAAAACATTCTGTAATTCCAGCTTCTCCTTTATTTGTAACAGCATAGATGATGATACAAAACACCACAATGGAAAAGTAGAAAATTTAAATTAATGCTTCAAAATAATTTGGAGATCACATACAGCCTTTTAAAAAAGGTCTTTTCTTTTAAATTCGGTGTCATCTGTGTAGTTTAGTGCAAAAACAACTTCATATTTTAAATGTCTCCACTGAAAAGATGCATTCTAATATTTTATAAAAGGAGTGTGAAAATTTTAAAACTTAGAAAACGTATTTTTTTCTCTACAAGCATTGAAATAGAGTATAATAAAAACTCATCCCTAACACAGTAGCTCACAATAAACTTCTAGATACATTTTATAAGTTAAAAAAAAAACCTAATTGCTACTAGTCAATGCATAATTAGATAATTTATTTAACTAATACATCTGGGGCTTTAAATGGGAATAATGGTACCTAATTCCACTCACCATTAATCTGAGTTTTAAAATACATAGCTAAGTGTACGTGATAAAGTATATAAGTTCCTTTTCTATGTGTTGGCATACATTAAAGGGTCAAGAAGAAATGTATTATTTACATTGAGATTATATACTGGTGTGTGTAGAAAGTTTAAATTAGCTGCAAGAAATTTTATCTAGACACGCACCTGCCTAGTGCTATGATCTGGTATTTACTGGGCAGATTAATTACAAACATTTCTTCTGTTCCTTTAAATATGATCACGCAGATGCAGAAGCTGGTGTTCATAGTTAATGCATTTCTTCTAAATGCCTGTGGGATATATAAAAGACGATTATTAAATCATCAAGAATTAGTTTCCAAATTAATATGCATCTCATACATGACTTAAGAAATGATTAAAACACTCACCATGTAATTTTGTACCTAATTAGTTAGATACTGGTAATGTCTGCTATTTTTTGTGTCTCTTTAGCAAGTTTCATCTTCACAAATAATTGTCAATATGAGTACTCGGACACACCACTCTTCACTTTAAGATGGATCTTGAGATACTTCTGAGCGAGTTCTAAAACTCCAAGATGACCTACTGAAAACACAAAATCTACATTCCTTTTGTCTCTAAGCCTTATGGGCCTTTCAGCAGGTGTTTCCTTCAACAGCTGTCCCCCCAAAAAAGAGACAGTATTTACTGACATTCCTATTCAGTGTGTCCCTCTGGGGACTCCTAGTGGTGGCAGAAGTTCTTATCTGGCCTTATGATTCCTATATGAGAGGAAGCCTTTGAAGAACCATTGGCCAACTGATGGCATATATTCCTGAAGGGAATGTGGACCAATCACTCCTGAAATAACCTTTCCTTCCTTACATGGGCAGCTATGAAGGAAGGAAGTCATGACAGGCCCCTTTATCTCCCTATTCATAAGAGGGAAATATTTATGTATTTCCTATATTTCTCTTGTCCTAGAAGAAGGTAAGTGGCCAACTTGAAAAACACTTTGCCAACTCTTTTGGAAAGTTGTCTGGTCTGAATGCCTACAGATTTTAAGCACTCAAATATTAAGCACTCAGCACTTAGTATTCCTACAAAATGTTGATAACGCAGTTATCAGAACTAATGATAATACTGTAGAGGAAAGGAAAAATCATTTGTTAGTTACTTTGGAGGAGGTACTAATTAAGCTAATGATTTGTACACTTCCATAAGGTAAATATCAGTACCATTTTGTAATTAAGGTTTAAGGAAACTAAGTGCCTTGTTTAAGGTAAGGCCATATAGCTAAGTAGACAGAGCTGGTGCTGGACATCTTATCGAAATCTCATTCTCTGTTTACAATGCCAGATGCTGCAAACAAGTTTCATAAACTGATCATGGTTGCTGGGAGAAAAGTGTGTTGAAAAAGACTGAGGCCAAATTCAAGATCCAGGAAAATTAGCATTTTGATCAGTGTGTTACAGGTCATAGCACAAGAACAGGGAGGAGTGCATGTGTGTTCTCTCTGCACTGTCAGACTGGTTCTGGAGATGAGTATCTCAGAATACAGATGAAAAGCAATTCAGATACAGTGATACAGTTCATGAGCAGTATTTTAACAGAATTCATCCTTCACATAGCAATTATATTCTAAAACATATTTTCCATTGTTACTTCCCTAATAATTTTCACTGGTCCACTTCTGCCTAATGAATAAAGTCTGAATTTATTAGCCTGGTGATGGTAACTGCTGATGATGTGGCTAGAATCTACTGTTCATTCTGCTTCTCTGCCTTTTTTTATGTGTTGTTCTTTCCGCCAAGTATGTTTTCACAGCCCATCAAAATTCCCCTTTTTCAAATTCCAGCTTCCTATTACAAAGTTTGATTACTAGTAAAGTACAGAGTTTCTATTACTGGGGTCTGGATGGCTCTCTGTCAGAGATAACGTAGAGTGGAATAACTAGAACTGATTTTGAAATCATGAACTCTTAAGTAAGTAATGACCTAACCACTCCATCTTGAGGTGATCTATTTCTGTTGTGTATTCCCATACTATTTATTCTTCATTTGGCACTTAGGAGTGTTTATACTCTCAGTCTGAAGAGGAAGGAAATCTGTCAACTCTTCTGTTTTCTGTATTGCGTGGAAGAGTGACAAATTTGGCCAAAGTCCAAAACATTGGTCCACACATTACTAGTCAAATTACATATCACTATTCTTACACAATGCTCTTCAGTAGCTGCCCTTTCTCTGTCTACTGTCAAGTCCAGTGGGCCCCTGTGCTTCCTAGTTTTATGCTGTAAGGAGACCAGCCATTCTCTCTCATCTGAGATGAAGCATATCAGGCAGATCTAAGGTCTTTACTCTTGTAGTGGTACATGGACATGGGGGTCTATTTCAAAGATTCAGCTTTCTCCTCAGGTTTATGAGAGCACACAGGGTTCAAGACAAAGATTCAGTGTGGGAGAGACAGATTCCACTTCTGCCTTATCACAATCCACATTAGTTACTCCAAGCTTGTAGCAGAGGGTCTGCCATGTGTAGGTTATCAATCCCTACACTAGTCATAATGATGCTTTGATCCTCATTAGACTCATAATCATTTTTTGCCTTGCTATTACCCAGAACCCTGGAAAGAAGAACAGCCTGAACTTGTATCACTTATCATACCTTGCCTTATATTGTCATTTCATGTATATAATAAATCTTGTGCCTTTGGCTTGATTACTAGGTTTCAAAAGGTTGGCATCATGCAAGTGCTTTGTTTATACTAAGCCTCATGCTTTCAGTAACAAAATGATTTATCTGATTGTTTCTAGATAAAGTATCCCAGTATATCCTACAGTATTCCCTTTAACATTAGACAAAATCATGCCTTTTCTCTCAACACCACTCCCCACTTTTTTTGTTGATCTTCATACAGTCTGTGGCCTGGATTGCTGTGTTCCTTACTCACAATCTCTTATTCTAACATTATTTTATAAAGGTTTCATTTTTAAAAGGCTCTGAGAGCAAATTTGTATGGGGTCATTCCCCATAATGAACAATATAGGTCAGGAGGAATAATTACGGTGGGAGAAGGCAGGAGCTGATGTGCAAACATGGAAGCTGCCCACTGTGGTATCAAGAGTACAATGACTGTCAGGTTTCTAGGACATAGGACAGAAGCAGGGAGTTTAATAATACCCCTCCTTGGTCACACCAGCTAGGTAGCTATGACAAATACACAAAAGAGCAGTGAGAGAACATGGAAGACAGGGATCTAAGGAAGCCTAGTGTAAGGTGAGTTATAAGCCGGTTTTGAAAGATGGATAAAATTTTTGACAATGGTGGGAGAAAAGGTATGCCAAGCAGATGAACAAGAATAAAAGGAAGTGAGAAAGATACTCTGAGGAACGTGTCTGGCGACTGTCAAGTAATCTGGAGTGGCTGAGGCACAAGGATAAGGAACAGACATGGCACAAGAAGAGGTGAGGGGTAGTCAGATGAGGGAGAGTTTGGAATGTTCATATACATTTGGATTTCACTGTGAATATGGTGGGGTGATACCTTCTAAAGCATAGTTTGTCCAGTAGCAAGTCAGGCTATAGGGAAGTTCTTAATGTGAACCTTCAGTTGCAGGTACACTAAACACTAATATCATGAGTCATATTGCTTCTAGCTAATATGTTAAAATAAGCTATCTATAAATATGTCATTTGTACCTGTATATTGCTGAACCCACAGGAACTGCTTTCAAAGAAAGGTTCAACTAATTAACATATAATTATTTATCAATTCAGACCATTTGAAAATTCATAGACTTTCTATCTTGTTTAGTCGGATGTACCGTACAGATCTGTGACCCACCTGGTCAGTATCTAGCTGTTTATGCTAAAGGTGTTCAGTGGAGAGCCTTCTTCACTCACTCAAAAATATGCCTTCTCTGACTTTTAAAGCTAGCCTGATCAGCTCAGCAGTGTTCTTGTTCAGTAAGTCCCTAACTCAGGTCTTGTCAGACTGCCCTCCTATTATTTATAAGAGTAGATGGAGTACAATATCAACTAAAGCTCCAAAGCTCAGGTCCCTATTTTCCTCATAGAGACAGTACTAAATTTAATATTGTAAATATAATGTTTCCACCTGAACAAAACAGTGATATTTAACAAGGCTAAACTTTAGAAAGGTGAAATAGTACCTCAGTTTAAAATGCCTTTAAGGAATTCATAGCTGTCAAGATGACACAATTCTGTAAGAAAGAAAAAATTTTTTTTTCAGAAAACAGTTCAAAGTAAGTTGTCACAGTATATGATGCAGAATAAATGCTGAATCAAAATGAAATTAAAATAAAGAACCTAAACATAAAGTTTTATTTTATATTACAAATAGCAGCTTTGGGGCTATAAATTCTCATTTCAGCATCCCACGGATTTGCCTGATTCTGTTTCAAAAGGTACATTTGAGAATTGAGGTAGGAAACTACAAAGAAGTTTATTATTATAATAATGTATACTTTTGCTTTATTATAATTTCTTGTCTTTTGTGGTAGATTCCATAATCCTGAGGGCAAGACTATGTCTATCCTGTTCATTAGTGTATCACCAATGCCTGGCTGATAGTAGGCATTCAACATACATAAAATGAATGACACATATAAGGAGATAGCAATTTATAAGTATTTGAAAATATTTAGATAATTCCTTTAAAAAAGTCTTAAGAGTGGGCATTCATTTTTATTTATTCACTGAACATTCATTGTGGACCTTCTATCATGTTCTCTACCAGACCCAGGCTACAGTATAGAGAGAAGACTTCTGTTTGTTTGTTTGCTAAAGAGGAGTTCAGAAAGCACCCTATAACCAGACAATTACAATATACTACAACATGATACATTTATGCACATTCAGACAAGTGTTATAGAAGCCTAGATGAAACAATTTAGCTTTAGCTAGGGGAGCTGGGGAGAGTTTCACAGAGGATGTGACATCTGAGGCTGACCTTAAAGAATGAGCAGGAGTTAAGAGAAAGAAAAAAGTGAATCCAGGTAGAGAGAAGCGATAGAGAGGCCCAGAGTCCCAAAAGAGAGATTCCAAAGGGCTGAAGCACATGGTAGGGACAGTGTGAATTACAATGACTACTTTCCTCTTATGTGAGATCTGTGCTGGAGGAGAAAAATCACCTAATATTTACTTTTTATACAAGTTCTGCTCTTACCTATATAATTAGCTAAATAACACTATAAATATCTGCTTTATTATTTTGTGTTTAAAATATATAAGCCACTTAGAGAATTTCTTTCTTTTTTTGAGAAGCTTTTCTGATTACTTTAGAATTTAAAATGGAAAAAAAATGTTCACCTGCCAGGTGACATAAAACCAATATCTACTAAATGTGCCAGAATAATTCTTCTCCACCTCAAGAACAGTTAGTCTTTAGTCTGTTCATTACTGTCTTTTTATAGTATTTTTATTTAATAAAACCTATTAAGAGTACCATACAAATCTCTTTACTTATGCTTTTATCTTTTAACTGATCAATTTTTATATTGCTGACATCCCTCTTCACCATTTGCTCATTTAAAAATTCATAGTATGTGAGCTATGTCTCTGGAGAAAATGTCTATAAAATTTGTTACAGCTGGCAAATGTGTATGAGTCAGTGATAGCACATGACTAAATGCTTCACAGAAAATCAAATTTGTTTCTGTAGTAAGCAGAACTGTTTAAATGTTATTTATTTTTATGTTTCAAAGAAAATATATTGTGAACTGCTGCATTGATTTAATACGCAACAATGTCTGTGTACATGCTGTAGAAGGAAAATTTATTAAACCTTTGCACAACTCCTTTAATTGAATTTTCCAAATCTCTCACCACACACAAATAATCAATATCGTCTGCAGAGAAAACCAGTCAGAATTATTACAGTCTTTCGTTTCAATTTTGTTGTCATCAGCACATACAGAGCACCTGGATATTTGTAATGTCTGATAGCAAGTTATTTACACCTCTTAAACACATAATTGCTATTAAGTGACTTCAAGTCCATGGTTTGAAACAATTTTTAATGATTGTTTAAAAGATAAAAATTATCATACTTCTGGTAAAGCAAAAAAAAATTTTAATCATGGAAGAAATTACTTAAAAGGCTTTGAAAAGTAATAAACTAGTTTGTTTTTCCTTAAATCCTACACAAATCTCAAGTAAGCAGTTGAAATGCATCCCCCAAATAGTCATAGTGTGAAATATGAGCATTAACATTATTAAGGAAAGGTCCAAACCATGTACAGCATACATGACAGCTAAACCCTTATAAAGAGCTGAGGACTACAGTTGTACCTAAAGTATATTTGTGTCATCAAAACCAATGTCTTCATTTTTTTATCTCCAAATAAACCAAGCATAGGGCGAAGTTTTGTTGTTTTTCCTAAAACTTATCATGTCTAAACTTCAAACCTCAATGCTTTTAAAATTGAAGTATTTGTTTGAAAAAGGGTATTGTTTAATGTTAAGATAGAACAGGAAAAACTAAAAGGGCAGTAGTCTTCTAGGAGTAAAATTATTTAGCTGATATGATGAATACTTTTCAAGACTGAGTGGGGGGAAAGAACATATTTTAAGTTAAAAAATAGTTCAGTGGGTGTTAGAATGAAAAAGTCAAACTATTTTATAGTCTTAGAACAGGAGTTTAAAATTTTTCTTGTAGTCCAAGAATTAGAAACCTTTAAAGTGCTAAAATAAAGATTAATTTTACAATGTAAGAAGAAAGTAAGTTAGCTAAAGAAAACAGGGAATGTTATAGTTTGTACTTTTCTTTTTAATGCCAGAGCTGGAAATTCGGAAATATTTTGTATTTCAGCTGAAACAATCAACTTTTTGAACAATGTAAAGTTCAGATGGTTACATTTCATTTAGAATATGCATACTGCAACCAACACAATTATTATCAAAACAGATATAATATGTTTTGGAATGAAGCTAAGTGTTGAGATTTTGTATGTTGGCAACTGCTCTACAATTTGCATTCTTTTCAAAAACATTTTGTTTACTGGAAGTACTAGTCATAGACAAACAATGATGGCATTTTTCCAATATCTCCAGAAAAAATTAAAATACTAAGTACTAAATAATGTCTCTATTGACTTAGGACTATTTATATGAAGTTGTTTTATGTGGAGATTGATTATGTAAAGTAAATAAATTTCATGCCTTACCATGTGATGATAATGTGACATTCCCTCTGTATCAACCCATGAATGGTCATGTTTTAAAGTTTCAGCATAACAAATTAAAAATAATTATGAAAATTCACATCCAACTCTAACAGAAAAGAACCTTTCATTTCATTCTTTTTGTAATAGTCATAAAGCCAATATTATTAAGGAAAGTGAAATTAGGCTTACTTCCTAAGTAACTGAAAAAAGACAGAAGCCTTCCTTTATTTAAGAAATCTGTATTTAGTAGAGGAGACCCTCTTTTATTCAGACACTTTGTCAAGGCATTCCCTGATTTGCAAGGTCTAGTTCTGAAGGCTATGAAGATCTCAGTGTACCTTTTCATGTTGTGTATGTTCTAAGATTCCCTTCAATAAATTATATAAAAGCCTTAAGAATGTGTACCAGACATCTATTTATTTAAAACACCAGTGTTATTTTTACAATTATACTCCTCTGCCTATAATAGACTGCAAGTGATGCTAAACTAGCACTGAAATGAAAAAGTAAATAGAACTAAAAGGACGAATTTGAAGGGACAATAGCATAAATGTTGAAGTTCTTCTGGTATTGTCTATCTTAACTGTTCTAAGAAAATTTTATAAGAATCTAAAAGACATTCTTTTTTTTTTTTGCAGATAATTATTTTTTATTGAAGGGTAGTTGACACATAGTATTACATTAGTTTCAGGTGTACAACACAGTGATTCAACATTTGTATACATGATAATTCTAGCTACCAGCTATCACCATACAAAGTTGTTACAATATTTTGACTATATTCCTTATGCTATACATTACATCCCGGTTACTTATTTATTTTACAATTGGAAGTAAGAGACATTCTTTTGATAGTGAAAAAATTTGTTCCCACTTTTATAATTACCTAATAAAATTTTTCATTTTCATAATTTATTTTAAAAAATCTAATACATAGTATAGAGTTGATTTTTATATAATTTCTAACTATGTAAATTCTAATATGAAGATTACCAAAATATTTTAAAATTTAAACAATTCTGAGTAACAACATAGTAAAAGAAAGAATAAAGTAGAAATTTCTATAAAAAGCTGGAGCAAGATCCTGACATAAAGAACATATAAAGCAAATTAGTTTAAGATGTCAAAAAAAACTAACAGATCCTCTTAAAATGCATTTATTAATAGAAGAGGTGAAAGTTACTAAATTAGCAAAAATTTACATATATATGTGCATATGTTGGAAATGCATCATCAGCCAAAAAAAACCCAACCCACCAAGGTAAAAAACATACCTATTAGGAGCCAGAGAGAGAAAAGGGAAAAGCACTCAGTAAAAATACATAGCTCAAACTCAAACTATAAAGAAAAAAAGTTTCGACCTATTGTTCAGGCAACATTTCTTTTACAAAATTTACTTGAAAAGCTAATGAAGATACAAATACCTCAGGTAATATAAGAGCTAATGCTCTTTCCTGCTCTTGTCAGGAAACAAAATGGAAGATGACTTAAATATTTTAATATATACAATATACATTTATATATAACATGTATTATATATTTTATATATCTTTACTCAGTTTTCATTTAAATCACAACAAATAATTAAATGCTTGTTGGATTTAGTGCTTTAGAGATGGACTCTCCTCTATGCATGAACAGTCACCCATAGGGAAAAAACCTGGTAATGGATAAGTCAGTTTTAATGCCTAAAACACTAGAAAATAGTTTAAGGCTAATCATGCATAAACACATAAAAAATTGGTATATACTGGGTAACTGAAAGGAGATGGCTGTTTTACACATGGAATATATGTTTAGGGAAAGAAACAATACTTTGGAAAACTGTTTCCCATTATTATCAGCAGTCACAATTGAATCATTCTACAATTTTCTCTTTCTCATTTCTCAAACCTGTTGGCAAAAGCCAACTATGTAAAGACTATTTCCAATTAGTTCTGGGAAATTACAACTTAAAAAAAATCATACCATTGGCACAGAATATATAGAATAAAGATTTCTATTAGTTGGGAAGTAAATATTCCAACTTCCCATTATCATCCTCTAAAACTTGTCAAGTTAGGAGAGATTGAATCCATTGAAACCCAGTTATACCTTATAATCAAGTTACACAGTATAGGAGAAAAGGGATCTCAGATCTTAGTTAAGGGGATCTTAGTTTTTCTAAGAGCTACCTTCATGTTCTTATATTCCTGGGATAACAATGGAAATTAGCTGTTCAACTGAATGACAGGATCCTGGTCAGCTCCTTTCCCGCATGAACTCTGGAATCTTGCTATGGATGCTGTTCTGACAAGACCCAGGAAGGAACTGACCGGCAGGGAATCCCAGCACTTTGTACTGCAAAATCATCACTGGCTTGTTTAAGAGCCTAAAAACAGTTTAACATACTAGATTGGTCGAACCAGTTTCAGTTATGCCTCATGTTTGAATCTGAAAGCTGGGATGACTAGATGATTTCATTTTAGGATTTTAGGAACAGGCAACATGGAATAATGAAAAGACCATACTTCTTGAGGTCAGATTGTTCTTTAGCTGGAATCCCTACTCTGACATTTAAGCAAGAGTATCTTTGGGCAAGTTACTTAACATTTTTTTGTTTCTTTTTTCCTTATCTATAATGGCAGTCATCTTACAGAGCTGCTGTAAACATCTGCTTGTCCAAGTGCTAGGAACATAATAATTATTGGTCCTCAATAAATGGTAATCACCGGTACTCAAAAATGGTAGACTAAAACACTGCTACCCATTTCAAGGCCTACCTCTGTTTGCAGAGATTGCTAAATGGCATTTATATCAGTAATATTAAAATAATCCCTCTTAACTTTGTCCGATGGTGTTAATTTACAGCCCATGATTATTTTGCTTACTGAGGTGTGGTTGTACATGTGTTATTGGAACTTAAAATCTGCCAGTTTAGTTTCCCATGCTGGTGAAATGCTCAGAGGCACGAGTTCACAGTAGATCAAAGGTCATTAATGATCGGGAAGTTTTTTTAGGTTACAAAGTAACTTTTTATGCTTCATAACCATTGCACCATTAAATTCACCATTAAAAACTGCCATATGTCAATGCATCACTGCACCTGTTTGTATTCTTAAAAATAACTTTAAATAAAAATAAAATTTAAATCTTAAATTGACAATTGTATTTAAAAAGATATTTAAAAAGTTCAGTCTTTATGGAAGTTGATCTTATCAGACATGGTCTTCTGCTAGATGCAATATATATGGTTTTTCATATGAGATATGTGGTCTTTTAAAAGAACAGACTCAAAAAGGACTCATAACGATTGGTTTTAAGTAGTGAAATGAGATGAAAAGATCTCTTTATATAATAAATTAAAACACAACTCTTTACCTTTGTTAGTAAGTCCTGAAATCTTCTTTTCAAATAGTTTTTGTTTTGTTATTTTTGTCACTAGAAGAAAAAAGAGCACTCATGTTAAGAATTAACATGGAATATGAATAATTTCTTGTCTTGGAAGAAACAACTTCATGAGAAAAAATAATTCAAAGTACTAAATATTTATTGGTATTAAATATAAAATATAGTACCTTATTATATTTTATTTAAAGAATGAGCTATACATTAAAAAACCTACTACCAATTTTCAAGGTACGTTCTTTCCCTTTATATTCAAGAAGAATCCTTTAAGTAACATATCCTGGTAAAAGACAATGTGGCATTTTATTCTTTAAATAGTATTTCTATCACATGTCTAATAGTGGCATATATAAAGTCTATCAAATTTATATTTGGAAAAAATGAATAGATTTATCTCTAAAATTGAGAATATTAAAATACGTAAGTTTGAAACAAGAAATGGAGAAACACCATTGAAAACTCAGTAAAATTTTCTTACTTAGTTCTTTCGTTTTCTGCATTTCTCTTCTTAAGGAACATGATGCACAGGAGATACCAATGAGATTTTCAAGCTCTCTACTGCCCTCCAAAGCCTAAAAGAAAGTCATCTTAAATGAATTAAGTATGTTTTCTACAAATATAGTAGTACTGACAAGCTTAGTGAAAAGTATACCGTTTCCTTTATTTGAGAAACTTAGTCTACAGTAGGAAATTTAACTTTTTCCGGTAGGTCAACTATTGTAAGCCTTAAAATACCTGAATAAAAACAATTTATTGACAAAAAAGACTAAATATTTACTTTTAATATTTTAAAGACTACAAATTTACTTTTAAATGTGAGAAAGTTAGATATTATTGAAATATTATTGCTAATATTCATATAAGAAAAATTCCCTGAAAAGTATTAAACAAATCCCCTGCAAACTCTTTCCTGCATTGGATTTTCCAATCTGGGGCTTCTCTTTTGTTCCCTTTTTTCAAATGGGTTAATAGAAGTATGAAAATTATATGTCTAAAAAAAAAGGCAGCAAACCTGTATACTACTTAAATTTTGCATTATTTCCATGATTTCTTCTGACGATTTCTCAACTTTAGATAGCAATGTCATAAATCTATGAAGAAAAAAAATAGTATTTAGCAAGATCAAGCATTTCAACATGAACAATTTTCAGAGATTTAATTCTTTTTAAATGATCTTAGATTCAATTTTCTAGTCCTTTCCTTTCCTTTTTCTAAAGTGGTAAAAGATGTAAATACTCCTTCCATCTTTCCTTCCTTTGCAAACAATACATGTTATCAATGATCCTGTCCTTTGGAGTCTCACTTTCTCTCCAGGGATACACAGGAGAGAAGATGTGGCTGTCTTGCTCCTTTCTCCGCAATACCAGTATACTTTAAGAACACTAATACACGTACCACTCTTTAGTTATCTTGATCTAGGTCTGTGAATCAGTGTTACCAGTGATTTTTTAAAATAAAAAAAATAAATTTTATGCTTTAATATGTTTTGGTGTGAAAAAGAAACAAGGGCAGTCTTTTAAATTTGAAAACAAAGAAAATGTCACTGTTACCCTACCTCCTGAATGTATCTCTAGTTAGCATGTTAGAATTCTGGAAAAACTCCATTTCTATAACTTTATATCATACTTTCAAATATAATATTACATACATATTTTTGGCCATATCACCCATGTCTATAATTTTTGAAGGCTGAATAATAATGTTCCTAGTGAATATATCAAAGACAATTTAACCATTCCCTTGTTGTTACAATTTTAGTTTTTCTTGTCCAATTTTAAGATATCATAACTGTGTATGGTAATCTATACCAATGCAGTGGAACAGAAAATAATGTAAGCCACATATCTAATTAAAAATTTTCTAGTAAGCTACATTAAAAGAAGTAAAAAGAAATGGGTGAACTTAATTTTAATAATATATTTAACTCAATATCTAAAGTATTACCATTTCAACATGTAATAAATAAAAATTATTTACAAGACATTTTATACTTTTTTTTCAAAAGCCAGTGTGTACTTCATATTCATAGCACATCTCATTTCAGATTAAACACATTTCAAATGCTCATTAGCCAGGTGTGGCTGCTAGTGACTACTGTTTTGAAGAGTACAAATCTATACTATTGATTTTATGCAAGAAACTAGAAGTTCTATTTAAATGTTTTTCAAAATCACATCAGTGTTATCCATTAACACTTCTGTGCTATTAAAAATAAGACAAATATGTAAAATTTTCATGTACAATGAATATGTACAGTATGTTTCAACTAAGTATGTATGTAAGTATGCAAGCAAGGGACAGAGAGACAGCATTATGCAAAAGTTAAAAACTATATAAGGAGAGTGGAATTAGAGGTGATTTTCTTTCCTTAAGAATTTTCCTTCATTATTACGTATTTTCAATGAAAAGTTATCTGTCTGAGGCTCCAGTTACTTACCACTGGAACCTCAGTTTGAGAGTGTCATAAGGAATTCCACCTCCTTCCACTGAGCTCCAAAAGCCTAAAGGAAGAGGACTTAAGTGATTTCCATCCAAGAGCTTCTCCTACAGTATACCTAAAATGACTAGGTACCTCAGGGGTGCAAAGCTTCCGAGGAAAGTCAACTACTTTCCTACGAGAAGGAATCTTAGGGGCTCTTTACCGTGCATCCCTTCCCTGGGAGGACTGGAGTGGCATAGCCTTTCCACACTGTCTTACAATACCTTAAGAAACTGATGGAGCTCTGTTAAACCTCAGGGAATTGTGTGGAAAGAGCTGGGTATTGCAGGGTTGCCATCTTGAATGACTCCAAGGGCTCTGTTCAGGTATAGTAGGATGTGAATGGTGCCCCTAGGAGTTGTGCAATGTAGTTTCCCCACAGGACCTATCAGTAGTTCTCTCTCTCAAGATAGTTATGAGGGTCTCAGCCAAGCAAACTGTTTTGACAACCTCGGAGAGTTGTATGGACTGAGTATCAATTGTTTGGGGAAATTGTTTTCAAGATATCCTTCACCTGCCTAAGCTGCTTTTGCAGGGAAACTTGTCTTTACTGCAGGACCAAGTGAATGAATGGGCACTCCATCATTCTTGTTTTTATTTTACTTTCTTTCTCCTCCTCCCTTTCCTTTACTTCTTTCTAGATCAAATCAACTCCTTCCATTTTGATGGTAACCAAATTCACGGAATGGTTTTTTAACTGTCATACAACTTAAATTTTGAGAAATTCAGGAAGTGTGAGCAGCTTTTTGGGGAAGTACAACTGCCATTGTCTTCACCCTAGAAAGAAGTCAATTATTATATTTAATCCCATAGGTGCTAGAGACTGGATTTTTATTGCTAGTGAGAGCATTTTTCTATAATATCTATGGATGGTTCAAATTATACTTTGCAGCCCTAGGAGTACATTATTGTTTGCTTGGAGTCCTGTGGTCTTTAATATCATCTTGATGTCCACTGATTTATTTACGAAAATCAACAGTCTTTATTTCTACCTGCAGAATACATTTCTGAAGTTCACTGTATCACAAAATTTCAAGGTTGTTGCTTCCTCTTTCAAGTTGGTGAGTGGAACCAACACCAGTGAGTACCATTCAGATTTGACAGAACACTATTCCTTTCTTAGAGAGTTGCCTCTGGCTGGACTAAACTGGATCAAAACTTCATCTCACAATGACCCTGTGACTTGTGCAGATGTTGATGGGAATTGCATCCAGGTATCCAGTGACTGCTGCCAGTGGCACGTCCTCCTTATAGGGTTTGATCAGATCCTAGGCTATGGCCAAACACCGACTATAGAGTACAACCTGAGAAATCTGAAATCTTGGTCCTCTTTGGATGAACTTTTAAAGATTCCAATTTGCTCCTTTCTTTGTTCATCAGTAGAGTAAAATCCAGCATCACCTTTTTTCAGCATCCAGTATTTTAAGTGTCCAGGTTAGTTCTCTAAGGTATTTTTAAGAAACTATGATCCAGTTGGTCTGGCACACAAAAAGTTGTTCAAATCTTAACATGTTTTTGCCAGACTGCCTTATCTCAGGGCAGATTCTTATGGTATGTTAACTATGAATAATATCTCCTTTTCTGATCAGAGATCCACATGCCAAAACTTCAGGATTTTCAGTGCATTTTCCAGTTTGCTTAGAAAAGTTTCACTGTGAAATTCAGAGTTCTCTTATTTTCCCCAAAGAGAAAGTCTTACTATTCTGAAAAACAATTGAAATTAGATTCTTTAGCCAAATAAAATCCATGGGAGATATGTATCTATTAATTATGTTTTTAATTTATTTCATATTAATTTCTCCGATCTCAAGCAAGTCATATATAAAGTAACTTTCAAAACTATCATTTTGCTCCAGTTCTGGGTTTTTCCTATCTTGACTACTTTCAATTATTTTTCATTCTTAGCTTCATCATTTTCCTTCTCTCTATAAAGTTCCTCAGATGTATTTTGAGTGGAGAACTAAAAGAACAAAGAAACTGTCACTATATTCTTGATTCTAATTAAAAATTACTGATGCAGGTGGTTAGTAAGCATTAATTCAGCTGCTGCTGTACCATTCTATATGTGACAGAGGGGGGCAAAGGAAGAGCAAATAAGAGAGGAGCACAGTGGTTTTATCAAGATTTCCTGGAATGCAACCCATGGCGCCTATTACATTGACTGAACTGGCATTGTGGATGTAGTGGAGAGAAGAAACCTCTAAAAGCCATGATAAGGTCCTTTAAAGATCCCAATTTGCTCCTTTCTGTAATTTCCAATTGTTTGACATCTGTCTCACTCACCAAGTTGTAAGTTCCATGAAGGAAAGGACAGGATCTACCTTACTATTATAACTTGAGTTACTTAGCATGGTAACCAAAGAATGTTCTGTACCCAATAAATATTTGATGGATCAATGAATAGAATAAAAAAGACCTGGTCCAGTGACCATCTACCTCTAGATACAAGTGAAATATGCTCATCTTTCAGTTTTCTCTTCCTTCTACTTCCTTCTAATCAAAGACTTCATATTTCATCAATTGTTACATAATGGAGAGAGCTGGGCCCATGCAGGAAATGGGAAGGGGATGTTTAAAAGGGTATACACCTTCATTTATAAGGTGAATAAGTTCTGGGGATCTGATGTACAGCATTATGGCTATAGTTAATTTGCTATGAGATTAGATCTTGAGCATCCTTACTACCAAGAAAAGCTGAATATATGAGGTGAGAGTTATGTTAATTAGCCTGATTGTAGTAATTATTTCACAATGTACACATATATCAAATCATCACAATATATACTTTATATATATATACAATTTTAATTGTCAGTTATACTTCATTAAAAATGGGAAATTTTAAAAAAGTTAATTACTTCAGTTCCTTAAGCTTCTGACATACACATCTTTCTAATGTGCAATCCTGCATTTCTTACCTCTGTTTCCTTCACTCCTGGCTTACACTGTGAGTGCTGTAGAAATCTTACAGCAGAGCTGATGGTCAGCATTACAAGTATGTGATTTTTGCTAGGCCCCTGATGCTGCTTAATTCTCCTTTAACTTAATTTAATGAATATTCTTTCTTTCACAAAAAGTTGCTCTAATTAATAGTCTAATCCAATCTCCACTTCCTCCATAATGAAATTAAACTCTTATAATTCAGATTTCTGCCTTACTAGTCTACTAATACTATACTCTCAAAGGCCACAGATGAAGTCTTAATTCTATTACTAAACTAAAGACTTGTGTAAGGCACTACCTGTAAGAGGCTGTACCTTAAGAAACCAGAGTTACATGTACATACAGGACAAAATCCTCAGGTTTTTATCTTCACAATACAATGTCTAATACAGAAAATGGTAAATACAGAAATGAACCTCAATCTAAATCTATTTAATCTAAACTGTTTACTTTGGATGGTGACATCTGGATTATAACAATGAAATATGTTGTTAACAGATTTTGGAACTTTTTCTAAACCCAAGGCACTGTACTTACTACGTTATAAGCTATATCTTCTTTAATCTTTAAAACAACTATGTGGTAAATGTTGTCTTCATTTTACAGATATGAAAACTGAAACACAAAGAAATTATTTATTCAGTGTTACACAACAGGGGCACAGTCAGG